AAGAAGGGAGGGAAGGAAGGAAAGAAGGAATGGAGGAGGGAGGGAAGAAAGGAAGGAAGGAGGGGAGGGGGAGGGAAGGAAGAAGGGAGGGAAGGAAGGAAAGAAGGAATGGAGGAGGGAGGGAAGAAAGGAAGGAAGGAGGGGAGGGGGAGGGAAGGAAGAAGGGAGGGAAGGAAGGAAAGAAGGAATGGAGGAGGGAGGGAAGAAAGGAAGGAAGGAGGGGAGGGGGAGGGAAGGAAGAAGGGAGGGAAGGAAGGAAAGAAGGAATGGAGGGAGGGAGGGAGGGAGGGAGGGAAGGAAGGAGGGGATATGTGCCCTCCTGTCTGATAGCCCCAGGCCAGGGAAAGAGCAGGGAAGATTCTCCTTCCTTCAAAAACAGATTTAGTTACCTAGCAAGGAAGCACTAGATCCCTCGGATACAAGGATCTTCGGATGTTTAGAGAGTGTGTCACAAACTGGTGCCTTCCAGAGATGGTCACTATCTTGTCCCCATTGTTCTGATGGACAAGGCTGGCTGCTTTCAGTGCCCAGTGCCCATGGCTGGCCAGCCCTTCTGGAGGGCCCTGAGTCTGGGGTGGGGTGGGGGCTTCTTTCCAAGCTTCAAGCCCCCTTGATTGACAACTCCCCACTCTTAACTCATGAGACCAAACCTGGGCAAGGGGCAGGAGACAGCTCCAATGGCTACCTGGCTGCCCACTTCCCACTACACAAACCGGGCAAAGACGGGGTGAAAGCTGGAAGCCCAAGGAAGAAGATCGGAAAGGTGAAGGCAATTGGGCAGCTTCTTCTGCCAGTGTCCCTCCCCTCCTTGGCCTCCGTCCTTCCTTCTGCATCCCTGGAAGGAAACCTGAATGGCCAATCTGTCGGGGGGGGGGGCACCTCTCGTGCAGCAAGGGCCAAGCCGGTTATTCAGAAACAGCCCCCCAGCGCCAGCACAGAGCCCCCCTTTCATGCAGCCCTTCTGCGTCTCCTGACAATGGCACGCCACAGGCCGGCCCGACCCCCCCCAAAAGAAAACCCGAGGAAGGGAAATGCTAGGCATGCCTGGGGTTTTTCTGGAAACAGGCGACGTCCACCCGAGAGGCCGGCGGAATAAGACCGATATTCATCAGCCAGACAAGCCCAGCCACTGTTTGGCTGGGAGGCTCCGTTCCCCAGCAGGCCCGGGCCCCTCCCTGGAAGCCCTGTGTATTTTTCTTCTTCCCTCCGCCGAAAAATGAAAATGGAATATTTCACCGGGCCAAAGAATGGGGACTGGGAAAATATTTTCCTTTCGCTGCCACTCGGCATGCCAGAGAAGTCTTCTCGGCAGAGCAGACGCCGCTTCCGGCACGCTGGGCCCGAGGATCCAGAGGCAGGCGGGGGAGGGGGGAGGGGGTCATGCTTCGGGGAGGGGCACTCCCATCTGCAAACATCTGCCTGCCTGCTTCTCTCTCTGCCTGTCTGCTATCTCTGTCTGTCTGTCTGTCTGTCATCTACCTATCCATCCATCCATCCATCCATCC